GCAAGAAACTACCAGAATTTCTTAACAAGGGTGGTTCAGATCATTTGTATTAGCCTGGATATCTAGTATCATCTAGCAGCTGAAGGAATATCACTTATCAATGCAATATTTTAAAATGTTGCCTTTCTGTCATGTAACAGGATGTAAATATTTCAACAGGCTTTCTAAAACAATTCAAATATATTCAGTACTGATAACTAGATACAGGGTTTTTGTATTGTTTTTGCAAATGAGTTTAGAACTTCAGTCTGTATCAGTTGCAGACCCATTTGCATAGGTCTCAATAAAATTAATGGTTTTAATAATCAGATATTTAAAAATATCACACACAACTAGATTTATGAATATAGGCTATGAAAATAGCAATTAAACGTAAGGAAGTTATCATGTTATAAGTCTTTGCTTATAGGCATAAAGAACAAATCCCATAGAAGACTAGATAGATAGATAGATAGATAGATAGATAGATAGATAGATAGATAGACAGACAGACAGGGAGGGAGGGAGGGAGGGAGGGAGATAAGAACCTTCCGAAAATGTTTCACAAGTTTGACAACTGAATACATAAGAATCATCTATAAATCTTCTGCTATTTAGAAATGGAAGTAGCATCATTCTGTCCACTATGTTTACTCAGAAGTCTAATTGAATTTACTGACACTCACACACATAGAAGAAAATTGTTGCATGAAACAGAAGTTCAAAGATATGCATGAAGTATGGTTACATTGGATATAATTGGAAATAAATATGCCAATGTGGCAATATAAGTGGCCCACTGTTGAGAACACTTTAGATTACATATTTCCAGTAGTTGATATCTCCAAATGGATCAATATGAAAATATGTCTTAAAATGCCATCCCAGAAAAGGTTTCTGATAAACAGGGATACAGATAAGTTTTGTATTTTTCAATTGAACTGTCAATACAACTTGTTTTGCCTTTTCTATTTATTTATTTTTTTAATTTTGCAATAGGCATCATGGATACACTCACTGTAAGTCACAGGGATATTATAATTTAAATGGTAAATAAGCTTGTGTCCTTATAGTAGATGATGCAGTAAAAAATTACAAATAAAGGAATTTTACTGAGAGAATATATGTATGGTATATATGAAGAGCAGAAGTGCTTAAGAGACTGATTGAGAGTGTTTCCTCTTCCAAGGTTATTAAAAAATAAAAGTATAGGTAGTCCTTGACTTGCTGCCACAATTGAGCCCAAAATTTATGTTAACATAAACATTTGTTAAGTGAGTTTGCTCCATTTTACAACCTTTCTTGCCCTGGTTGTTAAGTGAATCACTATAGTTGTTAAATTAACTGTTGTTAAGTGAATCTGGCTTCCCCACTGACCCCGGGACATTGCAGCCATCATAAATATAATTGCCAAGTATCTGAATTTTGAACCCACGACCATAGGGATGCTACAATGGTCGTAAGTGTGAAAACTGGTCATAAGTCACTTTTTTCAATGCTGTTGTAACTTTGAATGGTCACTAAACGAACTGTTGTAAGTCGAGGACTATCTGTAGATGGCCTTCAGTCATGAGTCAACAACTTGTAGCTATGTACGAAAACTATCACAAAGTGTTCAGATTTCAGACTTCTGGCTTCCCACTGGACTGAAGCTTAGGATGATATCCTGACCATAAAGAAATAGATCTATGATTCCCTGGTGCCATTAATGTAGGAAATCATAAAGTCTGATCCTCATCAGCCATCTGATCCTCTAATCAACTCAGTGGTTTTCAATCCATTAATAGAAGAAAGCCTGAGCAATCTGCACAGTATCTCTGGAAGGAAGCCTCACTGTTACTCTCTCTTGAATGAAATAAAGACATAAAAAAGTTGAGATGCCTGTAAAATGTCTCATAGATAAATGCACTAGTGCCCCTCCCAGCCTTCAGGATCAAAGAGGTTAGTTATCTAAATTTTAAACTATCTAACCCCTTAATTCTTTCTCAGAAACACATTGTTAATATTATCCTACTGTAAAATATGGTTGCAAGCATTATCGTAGAGATGATGAACATTAAGTACTCAACAATCCTAAATGAATCAACGTCATGCAGTCCTTTTTTAGCAGAACTGACTTGCAGATCAGCAACTTAAAAATCAATGCTGATCTTGGAAATTAGAAAAATATCAGGAGAGTTGCAGACAGGTGTTTTGTAATGACTAACAGACTTATCCACAAATCAACTTCAATGGAATTAGACTACTTGTTGTCTATTTCAGTGGAAATAAATTTTAGTACCATAGTAACAAAATAAGTTAAGATACTCAAATTTGCAGTGGCATGACTGGATAAAAATAGGAGTTTTCATGACTCCTTTCTCTCTGCCATGCTTTTCACTATGAATATCACTAATTTATTTATTTGCACCCCAACTTTATTATTTTTACAAATACCTGTGTTTCCCCAAAAATAAGACCAGGTCTTATATTAAATTTTTGCTCCAAAATATGCATTAGGGCTTATTTTCCGGTTAGGTCTTATTTTGGGGAAAATACTGTATTAAATGTGTTCTTCTGGCTGACACTCCTAATTGGGGCTTATTTTTGGGTAGGGCTTATATTACGAGCATCCTGAAAAATCATGCTAGGGCTTAATTTCCAGTTGGGAAAACAGGGTAACTCAAAGCAACAAACATTTCCAACACGTCTTTCTCTCCTATTTTCCCAACAACAACCTCCCTATGAAAATGTGTTAGGCTAAGAGAAAGTGACAGGTTCAAAGTTTCCCAGCTGGCTTTTATGGCTAAAGGAGGAATGTGAACTCATGGTCTCCCACTTTCTAGCTGGATGCCTTAACCACTAGACCAAACTGGCTCTTTAGATCAAACTGGCTCTCTAACTATTTCAGTGGGCTTAGAGTTGGGCAATAAATATGTATATCATTTTAAATAATTAAATTTTAAAACAATTGACTTTTACAATTTTGCAAATAAAGTTTAGAAGCAAAGGAGAGAACTACCCTTATTTTTTGCTCCAAGTTTATTTTGGCTCAATGGTTCTTTACAGAAAAGAAGTGTAGAAAATACTGACTTTGCAGTTCATTCAGGCGTAGCAGGAACAAATTCTGACAGGTGTCCACAAAGCTTGTACACACAAAACAGCATCCCACTGGAATTCACTCATAGGTTGCCTGGACAAGCTGGCCGTCCAGTTTTGACAGGGTTCCAATTTCTGACAGGTTTCTGGCTTTGGATACACAAACGGGCAGGCAAAGCTGGATCCCTGCTCTACTTGGACAAGCCAACTTTCAGTAGCATAATGGGAGAGTTCTAAGAACAATCTAGCTTTCATGGCTATTTATCTGGGGAGAGTAGGAGTAAATTCTGACTGTAATCCAAGTTTGTCTGCATATGTCACAAGGCTCATGCATGCAAACCAGGAGTACAGGTAGTCCTTAACTTACCGCCACAACTGAGCCCAAAAATTTGTGTTGCTAAGTGAGACAGTTATGTCAGGTTTGCCCCATTTTCTTTCTTGCCACAGTTGTTTTAAGTGAATAACTGCAGTTGCTAAATTAGTAACATGGTTGTTAAGTGAGTCTGGCTTCCCTACTGACTTTGCAAAAGGTGATCACATGACCTTGGAACACTGCAACCATCATAAATATGAACCAGTTGCCAAGCATCTGAATTTTGATCACATGACCATGGGGATGCTGCAATGTGTGAAAATTGTTCAGTGCCGTTGTAACTTCAAAAGGTCACTAAATGAATGGTTGTATATCGAGGAATTAGCTTGTCTAGGCAGAGTGGCAGTGAGTTTTGACAGATCTCTTGTTTTTTCATGCAGCTGAAATGATATTAAAACTCTCTTCCATTGCCTGGTCAAGCTGAAAGATGGACTAGCTTTGCTTAAAAATTATGCTTTGTGCAGCTGGAAAACATATGACCTTCCAGGTATTGCTGGATTAATTCCCATGAATCCTGACAATTTCCCATGATGGCTAAATTTAATGGAACTTGGAACCCAACAATAGTTTGAAGGTTGTTTCTTCAAATATCACTCAGCTAAGTCTTCTGAGCTTGCATTTAATAACCTCTTTGCAAATCAGTGGAGCTTAGACAGTACTTTGGCTGAAATGCCATAGTAAACCCATCCTATTTGCAACCTTAATTATATCATTAAAGATGTCAAAGCACTATTCCAAGGTATAACAACTGTTCCCACTTTTTTTGTCTGACTGAAAGATGCTTCCAGTGAGACGCTTTCCTATATATGCAATCAAGAGATAAGTTAATAAAGGCTTAATCTCCCAATTTAGACTTTTAGAAGGCAGGAACAGTCATTTGTGATACCATCTATAGTTACAGCAGATTAACAGTAATGCAAACAGCCAGCTTCCTACATATCTCTCTTTTAGATGACATAGTTCCTCTTTCATTTTCTTCTACTTGCTGATCCAAGTGATTTCAGGCAGAATTCAGCAAAATGAGATAGGGAGGGGAGTTTTAATAGCACAACTATGTATTTTAATACTGCCCTGTATTAAATCTCTCTACTGCCTTCACATGAAAAGTAACATCACCAAACAGAAAAATATACTGAATCACATTAAGCATGTAAGTAGGTAGCATAAATGAGACTGTTATTATATATCCTCCCAAATATGGTACAACTGAGGTCCTTATTTCTAAATGTATTTGCTAGCTTTCTGGATACCCTCCCCCCTCTAAGGACTTTCGTTTCTTTATCCTTATCCCCCATCCCACACATTATCTGGCAAACCAGCTTTCCATCTGCGCTCCCAAACAGCATCTCGCAACTCTTTGCCAAATTCAAGCAACTCTCGCTAAAGCTGCGGGCGAAAAGCCCAACAATCATCCAAAGTGACCTCCTGGAGGCTGGCTTGCATTGAAACAAAGACATTATAAGCAGCCCAGACGGGATGGGGGAAGGCACAAGGGAAGTGATTCAAGGCACACATCAAGGCACGCGGAGACCCGGAAGAAACCTGGGCAAAAGCGGTCGCATCACTTTACCTGGGACATCTGAGGTCTCAGGTTGATCTCCTTGAGATTGAGGGCGTGAGGGCGCAAGTTGTTGAGCAGCTGGCAAAGCAGGACTCCATCGCGAAGGGTCTGGGCCAGGTCGAACACCTGCGCCGCGTCCCAAGTCACCCGGTGATTGACCGGCAACACCCGGCATTGGATGAGCCAGTGAGCACACTGCTTCCAAGGCTCCATCGTGCGCGCCCGTCCGCCCGCCCGCCCGCCCGTCAAGGCGCTCTCAGCCAGAGCACGAAAACTCCCCAAGAAGCGCAAAGGTTTCGCTGAGCTGCCGCCGCCGACGCTGCTGCTGCGCTCGCTCTCCTGTCCGACCGTCCTTCCTGCCTTTCTTCCTGCCGCAGCGACTCGCCTCCTTTCAGCCCCACGCGCAGACTGAGAAGAGCAGCAGCTGAAAGGCGGCCCGAGAGGCTGCGCGTGCGGTTCCCCTCCGGCCCCTCCCCTCCCGGCGCAGACACACCGCCGGGATGTGGGTGTGGGGAGAGAGAGAGAGAGAGAGAGAGAAGCGGCGGGAGAAAAACAAGAGCGCGTGCGTCCCCCCACACTCCCTCCGCGCGCGCGCTTCGTCTCGGCCAGGCTCCCCCTTTTCAGAAGGCTTGAGGTGCGCTCGGCTCTCCCGGTCGCCTGGAAAGAGCGTGGGGGCGTCGTAGCAAAAAAACCCCCAAGTTGGGAATGTGTGAGGTCGAGCGTTAGAACAACAACAACACACACACAAAGAAAAAAACACCACAAACACACAAAGGGTAAAAAGAATGTATGCTAAATCACATCCCTTTAAACAAGCAAACCTCTCCCCTCCCCCCCCCAAAAATCCCCCCCCCCCGAGTGGTAGAACGGAGACATCACTTTCCGTGAAACATGGTAATTGTACACTTCGGGTGTTTTCACAACAACTCGCCCAAACGCTTGGCTGCGCTTAAGTTTCACGCTATATATTTAGGTGCAGTTTCTTTGCGCGAAATGGCCTTATAAAAGACAAGTTTGTTTATTTGAATTTTTTTAAAAAAACAAACAAACGTGGGACTGAAGGATTTTGGCAACCCACATACTTCGCAGACCGGTAAGTGGGGAGTCGAATTTTGCTTGTATACAGTACTGGGAAGCGAGAGGTGGTGTCGCAGACTTAAATCCTTGGTAAAACGAAGCAGCTTTTCCAGGCAGCAGATGTTGGGGAGCAATGAAGCGTGGAAGATAAAATGTGCATGTCCTTGCCGCGGCACTTCTCGATTTGGCCTGCTTCCATCTTGCGCTTTACATGAGACAGCAAAAACATCTTCCTTGTCCCAACCACAAATGTAATAATAAGTAACAAATAAAAGTTCTGCAATAAAATTTGAGGGAAAGAACTAGCTCACACAATGCTACAGAAGTTCACATTAAGTAGGTTAGAAGTAAGTGACAGTTGATTAAAAGTATTGCAATGAAAGTAGGCAGGAACCTGCGAGTTCATTACATGATATTGGGTCTATCATATTTAGCTAGCAGAAACCAGCATGTTCTATAGAATGCAGGTACTTGAGGTAATTGAGCCCCAAATTTCTGTTGTTAAGCAAGACATTTGTTAAGTGGGTTTTGCCCCATTTTACTATCTTTCTTGCCACCATTGTTCAGTGAATCACAGCAGTTGTCAAGTTAGTAACATGATTGTTAAGTGAATCTGGCTTCCCCATTGACTTTGCGTGTCACATGATCCTGGGTGGGACACAGCAACAGTTATAAATGTGAGCCAGTTGTCAAGCATCTGAATTTTGATCACGTGATCATGGGGATGCTGCAAAGGTAATAAAAAAACGGTCATAAGTCACATTTTTCAGCGCTGTTGTAACTGAATGGTTACTAAATGAAGTGTAAGTCAAGGACTACCTGTATCTTTGCTGCTATCATGTGGCCATCAAGATTTATGCAACCTAAATATAACATGCTTATTTGGATATCCTGATCATTTAACTTATTTGGATATCCTAATCATTTAAGGACAAAAAATGTGTATTAGAAATGAAACTTACAAAAAATTAGAAACTTACAAAAGAATTACAAAATAAAGAGGAACATGATTATTATCTAGTTTGGGAAAAGTGGTATACCTGGTTGAAAAATAGAAAAAGGAAAAAAGAATAGGGAGTAATTGGAGTTACAGAAACAAGATCATAAATCACTAACATAAATTAACAATGAATCATAAAGATAGATATGTAAGTAAGATCAAACAAGGAAGAGTCAAAACACAAATAAGAACATACATTACTGTTGTTTATTTAACAATATATATTTGACAAAATGTATATTTGAAATATTTGTTTACATGTTTTGTTCTGCATGTTTTGTTGTCACTAGTTCTATTTTGTTTGTACTTTTAAACAAATAAAAAATATTTTAGATTTAAAAAAACAAAAAAACAAAAAAAAAAGAAATGATGGGAAACATGCATAAATTTCCATCTGTTCCATCCTCTTTGCTATATTGTAAAATAGTCATCCATGACTTGCGGTGTAGTTATCAAATGTGGTTACCAAGTATTAAATTATATTAAGTATTATTGTTTATATGTTATATTTACATGCTCTGAGCCATCCTTTGGGTTCAAAAACAATTGATCCATCTCCTCCCACTGTCAATACATTCATCTTGAGCAGATACGCGATTTCTAGGAAGACTTCACTTGCACAGGAGCTCTCTAGGATGTCATCTGAGTTTCCAGTAAAGAAGATCAAGTAACTACCCAGTAAATAGGTCACAAGGCATAGGGGAATTAGCTAATCAGGACAATTCACTTCCAAATAAAATGTACCCCCCTAAAAATATCACTACTAGTGACACAATTAAGTAGCCTATATGAACCAATTGAGCAGCCTATGTGAACAGCAGCCATATGAATACGATTTTGTATTATATATTAGATTTATATCCCATCTTTTTTTTAAGGTCCCCAACCCCCAGGCCATGGTCCATTATTGGGCCATGTCCTATTTGGAACTGGGCCATGCGAGTGGCGGGCTGATGTATACACACAGCTCCACTTGCGTGAGTGAAGCTGCATGCGCACGTACGCCGACCCCCAGCTCACGCAACCCAGTTCCCCTCTTCCCTCCTCCCCTCCTCCAGCCAGGCCGCCAAGCTGCAAAAGAGAGGCTTAAATTGAGATTCACATTTATTTTCTTCCAACAACAAGCTGATGTTGAATAATTTGCCCAGAATCAACCAGTGGGTTTTTCATCACTGAGAGTGGACTTCAGTCCAAAACTTCAGAATCTCTCTCTTCTTTCCATTTATATCTCATACATAGACCTGAGGATTGATACATAAGGTCTCCTTTATCACAATCCTCCCACTCATGTATCTTTACAAACTAAGTTTGTCCCAAAGCTGAACTGCAATTCAGAATTCCAAGTTCTCTGCCCTGCAGCTGCTAGTTTTGTTTCTGACAGGATTTCTATATCCCAGGAAGATTTTCAAGAGAGCAGGAAGTATGACTAGGTTTCACTACTGCATTTTACTCAGATTACAGGAGTGCTGCCAGAAAAAGGTAACACCCTACCTAATTACTGCTTTCATAGAATGTATATATGGCTTACAGGATTAGTGTTTAAGAGATAATTATAAGTTCTGCCTCTTGGATCTTTTTTTCAGCAATCAGCCCCATTAAATTCAGTCAGGCTTATACTGCTTAAGGCCGCAAAATTGCAAGGCTACAATGCAAATTTATCAATTGTATACATCGTTCCTTGAGTTATGGGGATGTTATTTTCAAACAAGTATAAGATTTATACTACAGGTAGCCCTTGATTTACTTACTTATTCAATTTATTTATCACCCATCTCACCTCATCGTAAGACATGACAGTCACCAAACAAGTCATATATGAGTGACTTGGTTTTAAAACTTTTTTTGCAGTGATTGTTAAGTGAACCTCTGGTCGTTAAATGAACCCACTGTTCTCTATGGGGTGTTTTTGCCAAAAGCCAGAAATAAATCCTGAGTTTTCGCAAAGATGTAAAACAGTAATGAAAGCACAGGATGCTACAAACAGCTGTAAATGAGGGCTGGTTGCCAAGTGCTCAAAATGTGGAGGGGGGCAGCCCTTGGAACTTTGTAACCCTGTTACAAAGGGATCCATCGTAACAATTGCTAAGCATCCAGTTTTAAGTCAAAGACTACCTGTATGCTATGCCATGCCATGCTATGGAGATGGAGATGGAGATGGAGATGGAGATGGAGATGGAGATGGAGATGGAGATACATATACATATACATATACATATACACATACACATACACATACACACACACACACACACACACACACACACACATACACATACACATACACATACACATATACATATACATATACATATATGAGAATGCTGTCCACCTCATCAGGAGTCATAGACTTAAATTTGTTCCGCATCAAATTTTCTCCTTTTCCTCCAGTAGCACTCTAGGCATCTCTTCTAGTGTTTCATCTCATGGAGTTCCTTGATAAACCAAAGTGTACCCAGGATTAGTATGCAAGAAAAGGCCACATAGAGCAGTGCAGTTCAAGACCCATGTCATCTATCCATTCCAGCATGCAATTAAGTCCTTGGCCAAATTATCCATCACATTTTTAGAGAGAACCCCAAGCTCCTAATGAAACATTTGTAGGTCCATACAGTCATCTGGGGCAGGCTCAGTGGTGGGTTGCCCCCGTTCAGACTGGTTCTATAGAACCAGTAGTAAAACCGGCGGGAGGCTCCGCCCACTGACCCTGATGTCATCAGAAGCAATCTGCACATGCGCAGAAGAAAGGCGCATGTGCAGAAGAAAGGCGTGTGAGCGAGTGAAGCTAGCGCGCGCAAGCGATCCCATTGCGAACCGGTAGTAAAGGTAAGTAGAACCCACCCCTGGGCAGGCTGATCAGATACTGTCTTCCTCTGAGGAGTAGGAGGAGATGACAACAAGCTGAAGAGCAATCCGAAAGTGATCTGTCCATAGCAACAGAATGATTACAATATCTTCCAATGCCAAATCACATCACAACTTGCTTGAGACAAAAACCAGGTAGAGTGCAACCAGAATGGGATAAATTAGAATCATATTGGAAGAATGTTGACACTTTTGAATATTTCTATTGGTGAAGAATCCTAAGAATATCAGACAGTCAAGAAAGCAGACGAATGGACAATAGAACAAATCAATCCACAATTCCCAAGGCAAA